GGCTTGCCGAAATCCGACTCTCGCCTGAATACATGAGTCAGTGCTAGAGCAGCTAGACGACATGCAACAAAAGCATCGTATACCCATCCGCACCGTGACTGTCATGCCGTCGCTTCAAGTTTAAAGCGCATCAGCGAGATGCGCTATGTCTGCGAGCGGCGTTCCAAGTGTGGCGTGGCTGCAGATGTGTGCTTAAAGGAACTGCAAGGCTTCGAGACAGGAATTTCTTCGGTTATTTGTCAGACCGACACGATTTTGGGCTGCACCTGCAGCAGCTCACCTGGCACATGCTGCTCGACAGTGTGATGGGGCAAGGATCGAGCACATGAAATGCTGTCGGACGACGAGCAAGCAAATTTGCAATGTCAGCGAGGTGTGTCCAAGAAAAGCTCCCCACAACACGGCCTGTGTTCCCATCATCGTGTTTGTTTAAGCGCGGGAGCTGCATGCACAGCTGGCAGCACCCTTCCTGCTCGTGTGGTGTGCTTGCAATGTCAAGCATACCCTAAGTCGGCCTATGGTGTCAAGGTCCCCACAACACTGTCAAGGCCTGTGCTTTAATGTTCTGCTGGGCTTTGGCACTGGGCTCGAAGTTCCTGCTGCCATGTTTTGATAGGGGAAACAATCTCAGAACAGAATGGCCTTGTAGCCGGCAGTTGAACGCAAAGCGACCCGCATCCCACGTTTTGAATACCCGCATCCCACGTTTTGAATTTTGCTGCTGCTGCTGGCTAGGAGACTTGAGAAAACGGAGGTGCCAACATCTCTTTTGCTCAGGATGTGGCGTCTGGCACTGCGGTTGGCTCAGCACAGGATCGAATTAGGCACCAGGAGCTAGGAAGCCCACCCCACGACTCCGTAAACCCTAGCGTCGCACCTCGCCAAAGTGCTTCGTCGTACCAGCTAACCTCGCCCGGCTTGTCCCAGATGTGAGTGCTGAACGGCGCACCTCGACTTTGAGAGTCCCAAGAGGCTTGCATCGCTTGCTGCCGTTGCGGCCACTGGGCAGAGCGTGATGCTCAGCGCCTAAGACAGGGCTGCTGACCCAAAGTTTTCAGCAGCTCTGGCAACTTTCCGCAGTGTACCGCTAAATTTCGAGACTTCGGATTTGAATTCGCAGGGTAATCATCCGAAGAGCTCGTCACCCCCCCCGTCTCCATCAGCTCTAATTCTTGTTTAAGTCTAAGCCGCACTTGTTCTTGTTGCCAAGAGCACATGACCCCGAGCGAACGGACACTTTTGACAATCTTGCCTAGCATGCTGATGCGCCGCGGCGAGTCGCTCATATTTTTTGCCTCGACAAGTAAGTAGCTCCTACCTGGATCACAACCCACGTTTGTGTCTTAGTCTTGTGGGCTCCCTGTTTCCAGGTCTGACGTGCCTCCAGCACGCAGCCAAGAAAATCGTACGGACCCTGGACTCCGAAGCTTGGAGAGTAGAGAACTATTGCTGCTGCTGCCGCTGCTACTGCCATTGCTACATTTCTGCTGCTGCTTCTTCTGCCGCTGCTACTGCTGTTGCTGCTGCCGCTGCTACTGCTGCTGCTGCTGCTGCTAGCCTGTGTTCCGCAAGCATAACCAATCTTCGTGATGACGACGTTCGTGTAGTGATTGCGTTAGTATGCTGGCCCGGGGCTTGATTTCGTGAAGGTTAACCGGTGGCGCGTTGGACCAAGAACAAGCGTCCGTGCTGCGATGTCAACAAAGCGGTAGATAATCGCATAAGATAGAGGCAGCAATAATCAGTATAGGGCTCGGGGGGTATATCTGGTATAAGTATAGAGGGAACCCTAGGGAATAGAATTGGGAGTTCTTCAGTTTCCATATTCCTTGCGAAGCCGCGGCTTCCACTTAAACTTCACCGCCGACCACTGGCCGAATATCTTCAGAGAACTGCTCAGGTCGTCTCAGAAACGGTGCAGCTTCTTCACGGGCTTACCTTCCAAGCATTCTCAAAGTGCAAGAAGGTTCACCAGGATGCCGGGCCCTCAACGAACAACCAGTTTCCAACACACGCCTGCAGTTCTCGAGGTGCTTGGGCTCTTCAACTCCCTCAATGTCTTGATTAGTCAAAGCGGGGCTGGGAGAGTGCTAGCTGAGAAGGCATTGGAGGATGTGACATTGGATGCTCCCACCATTGCAGTAGCCGATAGCCGAACTTGTTTGGTTCCAAACCTGCTTTCGTGCAAGCAACTGTTTCCGCAGCCAGCCGTGTCAGCTTAGCATGAATCGGGCTGATTTATGCTAGACGGGTCAAATCATCAGACAGGTGTCATGTTTTCACAAAGTTCAGAATCGAGAGTTCTAGGGTTCCCCATCCCAGCGCCGAAGCGCAGTTCGATCTGTGACCAAGCTGAATGTGCCTGGCGGTTGAAAAGCAAACCGTGTCACCGGTGCACACCTACGTAGCACCGTGCCACAGGTTGTGGGAGTGCAACTGCCAGAGAACGTAATGTCTCGACGGTGCAGCCCAAGTACACTTTCAGAGCTGTTGGGGCATCTGGTCCGACGTACTTCTAGCTTCATGATCACGGGTAGGATGTCGAATCGAGGGTCCTGTGTTTCGTCGAGTTTCGCTTCGCAGAAGCCGAGGCCTGTACGTTTCGGTCAAAATGCGAGAGACCCTAAATCCCCCAAAATGTAGATTAACGAACCTTCACCCTAACGGTTGTGAAGTGCTGAGCTCCCAGGTCTACCAGAGGTTTAGCGGCTATGTCGCCCGACATCGACTGGCTCAGTTCTGCTTCAGCCTCACAACTGCGGCTCGCGGCCTGCTGTGCTTGCCGGCGCGGTTTCATAAGACTTGGAGGCACTTTCGTAGTGACTTAGCGTATCAGAGTCCAACGGCGAGCTCTAAATTCCCCAAGCCCTCCAGACAGTGCTTACAGACCTTGCTACGTTTGTCCGGATTTGAATGTCAAAAAGAGGTCAAAAAGAGCAGGAGGCAGAAACAACTCCACCAGGTGAGGGCATCCTGGGGATCCTCGAGAACCTGCAGGACAGGGCTTTCCCGGGATCAAGGTTGAGTTCTGTCACCTAGGACCTATGTGTCTAGTTGCGGGAGCTGAGGAAGTCACCAAATCTGAACAGTTTCGTTTCACAATATCCATTCACTTGAAGGCTTGGGTTGGTCTTCGGATGGAGTATACAGAGCTTGAGGAATCCGGAAGTGAGGGAACTTTCAGAAAAATAGACATGATCAGGCAAGTATAAAGGAGCCCCACCTGTAGGAGCTTTGGGCTCGGAACTTGAGCCTGAAACCGAAACTCCCTTTGGCCTGCTGTAAGCAGATCTCCGAAGCCCTTCGAACATCTTTCAGTGGAGTGGGTGAGCCTAAACCTAGACCCTCTACTAGCCCTCTATCTCCCCAAGAGGAGACGGCAATTGCCGGCATCTGCGACTACGAGGAGGGCCAGGGAAATTGCCGTTTCCTCTGTGTACCCATCGAGCTATTTGCATCGCATGTTTGTTATTTTTCGTCTTCAGTACACATACTGTGCGCACGCATCTGTTTAGCTGCCCACCTACCGATGGGATCATGTACGCAACTACCAGTGCGTAAACCACCCAGAGTGAACGAGAAGCATCCAAATTTCTATAGCACCCCATCACGTACTATTGTGATGCATGTCATTTCATGTTCAGTCATCGTCTGTGCCGACAGCTGCACCTGGCAAGCAACACCTATCTATGGCATGGGGGGCTTGATGCTGACCGGGGGCCAGTGTTTGTTTTGAAATTGTGGCGGCCCCCTAAGGTAGTGATGAGTTTTTGTATTTGGGATTTCTCTTGTGTTGGAGACTTGGATTTCCTGTGAGACTTTGTTGCTCTTCCTATGGGCAGGCGCTGACTTCTTTTCTCAAAGGACGGTACTTGTGGCAATGTGAACTCCAAAAGCTCTGTAGCAGCTTCGAAGAATCCTGGCAGAGGCTACTGTAGGTATGTTTTCCATGAAATTGTCACGGTCAAGCCCGCGGAAAGTGCAGCCTGAAAGTCCATCCGCAGGATGTCGCTTCCCGTCACTGCTCACCCTTGCTTCCTGTCGGACACGCCGAGACTCGAAAACGCAGAGACTGGGGGGGGGGGGGCACTGAAACCCTAAGAGGTCTGGACAACTCAACCTCATTGCGTGGCCAGGAGTCGCGGCTGGATCCGCAAGCGCTTGTGAGCAGGACCGACGCATTTCACTGGGTTTGCGGTGGAAGTCGTGGAAGGCTTGTAAGGAAGTTCTGGTTAGTGTGCCTGTAGTAGGTCATCGTTGTGAACCGCAGACCGCTACTGCGACCCATTGGTAGCGCAGAAAAGAACAGGCTGGAGGCCGTCACCGTGGAGTTGCGCTCCATGTTGGCGGACCTCAATGCTTTCGGCGATGGCTCCTTAGCCGAGGTCCCTCTTAACTTGAAGGTTGAAGAAGTTATGGCAAGGAGGTTCATGATTTGAAATCGCTGGTGCAGGGTTTGTCGAATCTAGCACAGTGGGTGTTTCCAGGGCTCGACAGCCGGCTCGGACCCTTTCGTTGCCATGTCACATGTTTCTAGAACTCTCTTCTTCCTTGTGTCATCTAGGTCCAGATATGTTTATCTTCCTTTCGGGTTGTCCCGTGTATGGCACGAGCGCGGTCGTGTTGTTGGACAATTCCTGTAAGCTTGTGACGGCACTATGTCCAAATGTGTGTCAGTTTGTCGGTATTCCTTGCCCTCGGTGAGATCATCGATCATGGCCGTAGCTCTAAGATGTTTCCCCAGCCGACACTCATGAGTTGCATCATTTGCACCTTCGGCTGTGGACGAACATGGCAGCCGAACCCTTTTCCTTTGGCAGGGTGTGGAGCAACACGTAGCCGTGCGGTGCTCGGGTACTTGCAGTCGGCTGCTGCGAGTCGGTTGTCTTGATGTGCCGTTAACTAGCAAATCTACATGGCGCCACAGTCCCGAATTCTTGCATTGGCTGCGGCTCAAGCTTGTCTTTTCCAGAAGTCTCTTGGAGATCTGCTCCTCAGCCATGGGTCTCGCGTTCACGAAAATATGGCAGCGTCTGATCGGGAAGCAGGAGATGCGCATTCTGATGGTCGGCTTAGATGCGGCTGGTAAGACAACCATTCTATACAAACTGAAGCTGGGCGAAGTGGTCACCACCATCCCTACGATTGGCTTCAATGTGGAGACTGTGGAGTACAAGAACTTGTCATTCACGGTGCAGGACTCAGTGGCCGACGAACAGACACGCGGGGTTGCATGCATGTCCCTTGTTTCGGAAAATGCTGTGTGTTCGGATCCACGTACTCATCGGTGCAATAATGCCTTCCTACGCAGACTCTGGGTCCGGCCTTGCTGTGATTGCAGTGAACCCTCGAGTTTCTGGGTGGTAAGTAGACAAGACCCGACGAACCCCAACGCAATCCCCAACGCATAACGGAGCCATATCTCTTCTCGCATGGGATCTTTGACTGGCAGGTAGCCAGGAGAGGCGGCTTGAGTCCAGAAGGTATGAATCGGCCGTTGTTCGCTTCTCAAACGATCACCCGCCAACGGCACGAGACCGAAAGCCCCAAAGCAGGGAGTAGTCACTACGGCACTAAGGTGTGGGACGTTGGTGGTCAGGACAAGATTCGCCCTTTGTGGCGCCACTACTACCAGGGCACCAATGGCTTGATCTACGTGGTTGACAGCAACGACCGGGATCGCATCGAGGATGCCCGTGAAGAGCTCAACAAGATGCTGAACGAAGACGAGATGCGTGATGCGGTGCTTCTGGTCTTTGCCAACAAGCAGGACTTGCCGAATGCAATGACAGCAGCAGAAGTCACCGAGAAGCTCGGCTTGCACAACTTGCGTCATCGTCAGTGGTTTATCCAGTCCGCATGCGCCACCACGGGAGACGGCCTGTACGAGGGTCTGGACTGGCTTTCCCGGACGTTGTCCTCGAAGCGCTAAGCTTGCTGACACATGCTGCCAGAAGAGTGAGAGCTGCGAGCGGATGGTTGCGGGGCCTAGGATAAGAGGCTTCGCATTCGTTCCGCTAATTAACCGTTTTGCCCACCATCGCTCAACGTAAGGAGTCTTTGGTCGGAAGTCCTGTGAACAGGGGCACATCATTGTGTAGTGTGGTGTGTCTTTAGGGACCATCGGCCACTGGCTTTCGGCGTGGAAATGGGGTCTGCTTTGTCGTCCGAGCCGTAGTCGTAGTCGTGGTGTAGGCAGGTCGTGGTGGTGGTCGTGGTGGTGGTGGTCGTGCTGGTGTCATACTTAGTGTAGTGCGACGTCGACCCCGCTCGTCCTCCCACTCCTACTGTCACCCCCACTTCTGCTCCTGCTGCTCTTTCTCCTCGCACTGGTATTACGACTACAACGACGCCAGCGACCAATGCTTGTACAAGTACTGCGTGCGGCTGATGCGACCACGGGCCGCTTCTTTGCATGTTTTCTTGTTTCTTGTGCTGCGGTTGGTGCTGGTCTTTGACTTTGATGTTTCCGGCAGTTTTGCATCAACAGCAGAAATTCATTGGCTGTTCAGTCGAGCCTTCATGGCCTTGTCAACGCATCATGGGCAGACTCTGGCAGGCTCTTGCGGGCCAGCTTGGCAAAGTTCCGCGTCCTTGGCTCAGTGAGTCGCAGGTCGTAGGGCCCGGGCCCTTTGCTACTGAAGGTTCCAATTGAATAGCTTCGACCTGCATAGTTCTTGCCTTTGTGGTAGCGTGTTTCGGCTGAGAGGGGGTGTCACTAGGGTTTCTCTAGGGTCATAGGTTAACAGCTTGTGATCTCAGTCCAGTTGCAAGAAGATGTTCGGCATCTGCAGGGGGCGTAAGATGCCTGATTAAGGAGCTTCATTAATTACCAGTTTGGGGTTCCTTACTAGAATTATATAGTGTAACAGACTCCAAAAACCTAAGGCCTCGACTTGACGCGTCACATTTAGGGGCTCTCACCATGAATCTGGGTTCAGGAGGCCAAGCACTGCCCATCTTGGGGGAAATCGATTTATATCTTATCACCATGTTTAGAACCACCTGAATTGCAAATCCCGAGCACTGAGTAGAGGGAGATGACCTTGCGACTCCCCACGGGCACGCCTATGCATTGCGTCGGAGTGGATTGGGTCGTGGAGCTGTTAATTGCTTACTTGCTGCCGGCGAGCCCTGCAAGTACACAAGTAGCCTCAGCTAATTATGTGTGCATGTCAGGGTCAACCACCGAAAGTTAAGCCGGATGCTTCGCAGCACGGTCTACTAATTGCTGCAGCGCCGCAATCTTTCTGCCAATCAAGCAAGCTCTCCCATAGCTCCTTTGACACATCATGCGCTTGTTGTGCTGTTTGGGACAGAAGAAGCCCGGAGCTGCGGCGAGGGATTTCGAGGACGAGGAGTTTGGTAGCTCGCTCCAGGCAGAGCAAGGCACCTTGGAGGAGATGCCTCGGCCGCAGCCACCCAGCCCAGTAGTTCACCTCGTGGAGCCTTCAAAGCTCGAGGCTTCCTGCGAGTCTCACTGCAATGTCCCTGAGCCGAAGGTTTGGGGGCTTTGCGAAGAGATCACCATCCGATTGCTTCAGCCCAACCGACCTCCCAGCCAGCTCAGACTAAAGCCGGGTGACACCATCCTCCAGGTCAAGCGGTCGATCCCTTTGCAGGTAAAGGAGTTCAGAAGAGCTGACCATAGGAATCTGGAGCTCTTCAAGGGTGCCGGATCTTGGTGCCTGAAGTTGAACTGCAGAACTTTGCGGCAATATGGAATCGGACCTGGCGACGAAGTCACCGTTGTGCCAAGCATGGTTGGGTCTGCAAGTTTCGATTCAGTTCCATTTACTCCTTTTGAGGATGTGCCACCCGAGCGGCTGGCGGAGATCCGGGACAAGGCCATGGCTCCAACGAGTTCACTCGAGCCTTTTGCACAGATGGCTTTTGAGCGGCGGAAGGCTCTGATTGCTCAACAGGATTTCATAGCTGACCGCATCGCCGGCATGTCCAAGGAACAGTGCGAAGTGCTACTCCGGTTCTGGGAGGAAGGTTTGCCATATGAGCCGCCCTACTTGGACAGGTTTTGCGAGCGGATGGCGTCTCACTTCATCGACGAGCTCGCAGACGACGCAATCCAGCTGGAGGGCTTAGAAGCGCAGGAAGCAGAAGCGCTCTACAACGCCTTCTTGCTGAAGTTCCATGAGAAGTACGACAAGCTTCCGAAGCCAGCAAGGCTGCAAGATGGTGCCGCTTGTTTCTGCTGCATCCAGAAGTTTGCCGAGGACATGCAGGCTCGCTTCGATAGACTCCTGCAAGAGGAGGCCATGCATGAGAGACAGCAGTGCCCAAGGCACGGCTGAAAGTACAGCCTGAGCTGACTGGTCAGTGCGGAGTCTTTGTCGGCTGGTCCAGGTGCTTCAACAGAATGCAGATTGACTAAGAGCATGCATGCGAATTCGAGTGCTCCATGCTGTGGAAGAACATACGCCTTTCACACGTTCGCGACATCTCTTGTCCATTTCTATCCCTGGGCTGCAAAGCAGCTTCCGAGAATAACTTGGGCCAGTGGGACCATGCAAGCCAAAAGCCAGCGCTCTTATGCGGGTGGGCGGCCCCGGCCCTGTTAACCCGTCTTTTTTTTCTGGTTTTTCTGGTAGTTTTATGGTACTGTTTCTTGTGGTTTTCTTCTGTTTCGGTCTGACCAACCATTCTCTCAAAATCGCGTTGCTCGCTCGCAACTACTTGATTTCAGTGCATCCGAGTGATTCCAAGCCGGTGCCCGTCAACAACCGTAAACTTTAAGCCTCAACTTGTCAACTGCGGCGCCGACGAAATTCAAGAACATCATCTGGCTGGTCTGAGTTTGAGAGCAGAAGTCCTCAACCTTTGACCTCGCATGGCTGTGACATCCGTCGAAGGTGGTTCGGAGCTGCCGCAAGCCTGTGTCGGAGCAGCTCGGGAACCCAATTGCCATAGCAACACTCGTGCTTGCAGCAATAAATCGAGATCATGCGCGGGCAACTAGGAGACAAATCATCGTCGCAGAACTACACTACGTAGTGGTGGTGCTTCAACCTGTGTACTACGTATGCCATGTTTCTTTCATCAGTTGTAATCGGAATTTTGTTCAGCTTCCGTTCGATCCTTCGTTTGGTTCCGGTTTGGTTCCACATTGTTGCGCAAGGAGCAGACAACATGACATATGCAGCCGCAGAAACATATTGACATCATAATGAGCATGCCAGGTCAGTCAGTCCATTCCAGCTCTGTGATTTAAGGGTAATACAGTGACTAAGGTGCTTTGCGATTTGTAAAGCCAAGGCCTGGAGTGCTAGGACTTCGGCGCGAAAGTTAACGGAAGAGGTGCTTCTAGAGAACTCGTTCCAAAGGTGGTAGGATGTTGCGCCTGAGGCAGACACACTTGTTCAGCTGCCGCGGCCCCGTTTGCAATGCGCAATGCCCCAAGCCCTCCATGCATGCTTAGTTGGCCCCCTAGTGCTCCTTGTAGCAGGCATCATCAGCAGGCTGGGACGCACAAGCGGTGCACTGGGAGATTGCCCTGACAACCCTTATTCCTAGTTTACTTTTTTGAGTTACCTGCAGGATCCGGTAGTTCACACCTGTGCCCGTCTTTACAGTGGATGGTGCCCTTCCGACATGGGGAGAGTCCGTCAGGGTGATCGAGATTCGTCAGAGACCTGCCCCGTAGTCGTGAACCTTACATGTGCGAAACATCGGGCAGGCCGCTTCAGTTTGTCCCATTACAAACCTGTTAGTGCCAACAGCACACCCAAAAGATCGCAAATGGACAAAGCCGGGATCCTTAGATCCAACAGTCCATAAGCTATAAGCCCGGCAAGCCCGTAGGATTCCTATACAGAACATAGACACGTTACCCCTATAAGTCCCCTTGCCCTTGCGAAGACAAGTCCCGAAAACACCTTAATCCGGCTGCGCGTCTGAATCCTGTAAGTCCAGGGGCCGTCAATTTTCTATCAAATCAGGGTGTTTGGATGTTGGTTGAAAAGCAACGGAGCGACCCCCTTTACACACATGGAGATCATGGATAAGCATGTTCTGAAGCCGAGTATGATCGAACATTTTTGAAGCCCCTGCCTTAATGATGCTTGTGGGGTCGCGGCTCGCACTTGGTCCCCAAGATATGATACGTATACCCCCTGCAAGCGCCCATGTTAAGGGGGTCGTAGTGTCCGGCTTAGATAGTACCATCCAGCCAGCCCGTAGACCCGGGAACACTTGCACCGATCTTTGCCAGTCGAGGTTGAACTTCATCTTTGAGCAGGTCTCTGAGTCTGCCACCTACAATGCCGGGCCCCTGGGATGTTATTGACACTGCTGCGTACTTGTAGCATCTTCAACTCGGCTGCTATAAGCCTGATGATGACCGTCGTGAATATCCGTCTTCTGGTCCGATATCGAGACTCGTTTGTACTGTATCTGCTGCTTGTAGTGTTTCCTGTGGGTTCTTAGGAAGAAGCCCCTAGAGAATTGCATGTTGCCCAGGTATCTCCGGCCCGAAACCTTAAGCCTTATAAGTCTTAAGTCTTACAGTCGTCCTTGACCCCGAACCCCTGAGCCCGCACTCGAAGCCCTTGATGCTATGAGCCTGAGGTTGCGCGGCTGGGTGTGGGCGGGGTGCTCAGCTGATCGAACCGTCTGGTATCATCAGCAAGTCACAGTTGTTCCTGAAGAAGAAGTGGGTCTGCCTCTCGGCCAAGCAACCAAAACAGAGCCAACTAAATTCAATGTTTTGATCCACGGCTTCCTTGTCGGGGTACCTGTCACTCAAGGAGTCGATTGAGGTGCTGTTTTAAATGCCCTATCAACAGAATAAGACAGCAATGGTCAGAAAAAAAGAGCCGTGGTAGCGAGTGTAGTCGTAGTCGCAGTAGGAACAAGAATGTGAACTATGACAGCTGCTTGTCCAAAGTCAGACCCAGGCGTCCGCAGAGACACCTACGGGGACTGGGCTTCTGCTTGTGTAGTTCGTAGCTCCGGGCAGGAAAGAGAACGTAAGATGTTGGTGCCTGGTGGTCAGTGCTCCTTCTGTGGTTGTTTGAGTTATTGTAGATCCTCAAGCTTCAGGTCAGTCGGGCATTTGGGCTTCAGGAGTTCCGTGCTGTACAATTTATTTGAAACCAATATGAAGCCCAGGACTAGTCAAAGGAAAATCCCCAAAGACTAGACTAGAGGCCTTAAACAAAAAAAGCACCCACGAGGTGGAGCCTATGATTCTCAGTCGGGCCTCCCTCGCTTTCTCTCCGCCTTGGCCCGGTCGCCCAGTGTTAATCGTTTCGCTCGAGCCATCATGACCAGTGTTTTGTTCATGTGGCCCCGGTTTGCGCATTGGACTGCTTGCTTGTAGCAAGTTTGGGCGACAGCACTGTGTCCTGCGATTACTGCCTTCATGAACCAGATATTAGCTTTAGCCACCTACAGAGTCCATTGCGGAAGTTCTCAAAGTGAAGCTGAGTTCATGTAACAATGTAAACACTCCGCCGTCCGATCTAAGGACGGGTTCCCTGCATCTGTGGGCCTCGACATGATTCGTGCAACGACCTTGGCCCTGTGGGTTGTGCTTATTACTCGCGGGGGGTTGAGTACTCCAGGCGAATTGCTGCGAGCCTGTTGCAGAAGTGTGTGGAGCTGAGGGTGTGTGCCATCCTTGCGGCTTGCCCGCTTGAGGGTCTTTGTGTTTCCGCGATCGCCATCCGCCTCTCACACGCCATGTGGCGGTTTTGTCATGATTGCTGTACAGTTTTCATGTCTCATGATCGGGTCAGATCACCGTGCATAGTTTTTGCCTGAACTCGCTGCTTCAACGAAATCTGCTTCACGGGTTGTGAGTTCACATTGCAGGGTGTGATGTTCAGACAGCACGTGCTGACACCAGCTTGCTTTCAACGACCTGGAACATTGTGGCAGTGCCAGCCTTGCCTGAAACCTTGCCCGTCGATAGTTCAACAAGCCTATCTGCAGACAGTTCATACTCGCAGATTCGCCGTAGATTCAACATGCCTGTTCTCAGGTGTGCGGCACTGAAATCAGAGAAGGAATGGGGCACTCTCTCTCTCTCTCTCTCTCTCTCTCTCTCTCTCTCGCTCTCCCTCCTTCAATTGCTCTGGAAAACACGCCTGTTTTCAGCGCCAAGAACGGACCTGCTCTATGTCCGCTTTTCGCAGTCTTGATAGAATCTCCTAAAGCTTAAGGCCTGGCATATCACTTGAGCAACCCAAAATCGCTTGAACCGTAATCCTGAGGGCCAACACCGCCCTACTCCGTGCTGGCTCGTCCTTGCTAAGTAGAAAATTCTTGGCTCTCATTCCTGTCACCACCCCGCCTTCGGCTGATGTGGCGCTGATAAATCACAGAATGCACGACTCTTGCATAAATGTCTGATAAGTCACAGAATGCACGACTCTTGCTTAAATGTCACGGTCTACAGCCAAGGAGTCAATATCTCGATTGTGCGTACGATTCCCGTTGTACTCGCTTGACAGTTTTACAGCTATTCTTATGCTTTCCTTCTTCTGCCAGCCAGCTAGGTCTAGCTATGTGGTCGATGCCAGTTCTATCCCTCAGCCGTGGTTCTTGCTCAGGCAGCACCTCAGTGCCACGGTCTGCATGAGCCAGTTGCTTACCATTGCTTTCGCCACGTGGATAACCGAAAAGAAGAGGGGATTGCACGAGAGGCGCGGAACCTGGGACTGCATTTCGCGGTTTCGACTTGCTTATGCCGGATGCACACGTCACATTTGTCCCATGTCGCCACAAGCAACCACCGCTGCGAAGGCTCTTGCTAAGCAGCTCATTAAGAATGTCAAGCGTTGGCTAGGGTTTCGGGATGGCCTTGTGCTCCGGGCATGGCTCAGTAAGATTTAGGCATCGTTCTGACAGCTGAGGCTGTATCGCTCGCACCACGTGTTCGATCCGGTCTCGGACCCGCCGGCATCCCAGCAATGGTACTGTTAAAATCTAGCCAAGGCCAAGGATCTTCCACATGCCAAACTGCCACCCCTGCATGAGATCGTCGCTTTGCATGCCGATGCTGGGAGATCACCGCCTCTTTTTCCATTTTGGCGGCCTTGACAGATTGAAGTCGTCTGCTGCAGTCCGAAGCGATAATGCAGCTGCATGCGGATTGAGATTTGGGGCTCCGGCAAACAGCAGTTAAAGCAACAAGCTGTCTTTTACCGTGGTTTCTTCGAGCAGGTCTTCTTGTGGGGCTGTAGTAGGATTTGGGAAACAATAGTTTGTTCGCAATGCAGCCCCTTGGGTTCTTCGAGCAAGTCTTCTTGTGGGGCTATAGGACCATCTGGGAATCAGTAGTTTGTTGGCTACGCAGCCCAATTCCGGAAATCAAGACAAGATGCCCCCACAGCATTACATGTGGTGAACCAGGAGGGGCCGCGGGAGAGCGGGAGATGTATACACAGGATATATGATACAGTGACGGAAGTGCTCGCGCGCACGCGAGCGGGCGAGCGGGCGAGTGAAAGAAAGAGATACAGATAAATGGTAGATGGAGAGAGACAGAATGTGTTCATATTATATACACATATATATATATACATATATTTGTACTTATTTGTTTTTCTATTTATCTACCTATCTATCTACATACATAGATACATACATACACATGCTGCAGGCAAAGGCACCCTAGCATACGGGTGGGCCAAGTAGTGCCTTAAGTATCTCGACCACCCCCTCAGCCTCAGTGAACTCACAGAGCCTTAATGTTCCTTAGGGTACCTATCATAAGTATAACACCCGAAACACTATTTTGATTATTAAGGCCCTTATCTTATCTCTGCAAGGGCGACATGGCGGTCTCGCGACGTGTCGGGCTTCGAGGCATCGCAGCTGTTGCGCGGAAATCTGCGAAGACAGATCTGAAATTCAGCTCCTGTTCTTGAGTCTTCATACGCATCGGTCGACTATGGTGTCGCCGCATGGTTTCGTTTCGATTGGGACAGCACCTCCACGGACGATTTGCGCACATTTGACTCCAAGTTGGATCCTCTCTTCCTCGCTTGAACCTTAGCTCCCAGCCTCCCCCATCGCACCCCAGTGTGCGGGTGACCGGTTGCTGGGCGGGATGCAATACGGAACCTTGGGCAGTTTTGAACAGAGGTGCTGATGCCTAGCGAGTATCCCATGCATTAGTTATTATCAAAATACTCTTACTGTTATGTTTCACTTCCACATGCTTGTTGACATGAATGCCTCAAGCAACCTCGGATTGCCCGCAACAACCTGGAAACTCGTAGAACCTATTTCTGTGCGAATGCAGAGCCACTGTGTGCAATCACAATTGAAGTGCAACGCCCGGTATCACAGAGAAATGCATGCAAGCCTGGCAATACTAGTGTTCAATGAGGACGACTACCACCAAACCAGGCTGCTCATCCTGGCCCTGTAAAACAAAGATGCACGACAAGGGCCATAGATCTTGATTGGAAGGTGCCTGTGCCACCGCCGCAAAAGCTGCTGTTTACCATTTCGCAGGCGGGAAACCTGCTACTCCTGGTCAGGGCTCTGGGTTGAACAAGCTTTCGGCCGAGCATTTAAGATTTATACATCTTTCCCTACGTACACATACGATGATAAAGGTGTGTGTCTATATGTTAGTATTTACAATATATTTTATTATATTATACTATGTTATATTGTGTACAAATAATATATACACATACATATAGCTCTGCACCTAGTGTGTGCGTCTATGTCTGCATATGCATTTACACGTATAGGTGTACTCTCTCTCTCTCATATATGTATATATATATGTGTGTGTACACAGATATTGGTTTTCATACGTATGTCTGTATATGTATATACATACGTTTGCATGTACGTACACATGTATGTATATGTACACATGTATGTATGTGTGTCTGTGTGCGCGTTTCGCTATGTCGTCTATGTCTAGCCTTCGGCTGTGGCTGTGGCCATATCTAGGTCTATGTCTATGTCTATATATGTATGTACATACACCCTTCCTCAATTCCCTTGAGCACGAGTGCGTGCGCGTATGCATGTATATGTATGTATATGTACGCATGCATGAATGTATGTATGTATGCATGCATGGGTGGATGGATGTATGTATGTGTGTATCCTCGCCTGACCTAGTCGAGCGCGAGTGCCAAAAATGTATGTATTAATGTGTGCATGTGTATATATGATCCCGCTTCTCAGTTCGCCGATCCCCCCCCCCGCCCCCCCGCCCCAATGGTATCCCCCCCTGGCACTCCCAGGTCCAAATATGCCGAATCCCTGTGACTGCGCGCACTTCTCCCACATGACGCCTCCAAAACCATGAACTGTCACGAGGATCTCGTCCCAAAAACACCCGATCCTTGTGACAGTGGGCACTTTCCACCCAGGACTCTGCCATGAGGGTATTGAAAATGCAACTGTCACCCGGACAGCGCTTCCCGTGGCAGTTGACCCAAGAACGGAGCGTGATGATTATGATGATGATGATGATGATGATGACGATGAAGATGACGATGAAGATGACGATGAGGATGATGACGATGATGATGATGATGATGATGATGATGATGACGTCGATGATGATGACGATGATGTTGATGATGATGATCATGATGTCGATTAAACACCCAGGGCGACCCAAACCGCGAACCACACCACACCACAGGTGGCCGGAGAAGAGCAGACCCACCACACCACACTAGAGGGACAAGCAGACCCAAATCCCGAACCACACCGCACCACGGCGGGGGGGAAGGGGTGGGGAGGGGGGGGGGCCTGGCCGAACTGTGATCAATACCTGTTCTCGGTTCACGGACCCAGTATGGTCTGTTAAAGGTGAGGGGTGGGGGGGGGGGTGCTGCTGGGGGGCGGCCGGGGGTCACATGGATCTTACGCAAGCGCTACGCAAGCCATAAACATCATGACTGATTGAATGAATGAACGAACGAACGAATGGAATGGAATGGAATGGAATGAACGAAATGAAATGTAATGAATTGAAATGAAATGAATGAACGAAGGAATGAGATGAAATGAGCTGGATGGATGGATGGATGGATGGATGGATGGATGGATGGATGGGATGGCTTGAATGACGAATGAATGAATCGATGAATGAATGAATGAATGAATGAATGAATGAATGAATGAATGAATGAAATGAAACGCATCGAGTTTAATTGAACTGAATGAACGGATAGATGAATGGATGGATTGAATATGAGTGAATGAATGGATGGATGAATGAATGAATGACATGAATGAATAAAATGAATGAATGAAATGAATGAATGGAATGAAATGAATGACTGAATGGATGGATGAATGAATGAAATGGAACGAATGGAATGAAATGAGAGCATATATCGATGGATGAATGAATGAATGAAAGGAATGGTTTGAATGAATGATGGAATGAAGAAATGAGATGAATGACATGAAATGACATCAAATGAAATGAAATGAACGACTGAATGAACTCAATGAATGATGGAATGGAGTGAAATGTCATGAAATAAATGAATTAATGAACGAATGAATGCATGCATGTGAATATATAAGCTTGTGTGTATCTTTGTATGTATTCCTCCCAGAAAACCTCATGCTTCGACGGAGCAGCCAAGTTCGGCGTGGTTCACGCTCCCCTCTTTTACTGGATTGTTAATGACTTCGTGCTGAGTAGTGACTCATCATTAAGGAGCTTGGATTCACCGCAGGACTTACATCAGACTCTTTTGTGCAGCGTTCCCTGCAGTGCGACTGTGTGTCACCTATGCGGGTGGGCAAAAGCCTGACAACTTCTTTCGTGAGGTCTTGCCGCTAGCCTACAGCCTTATCGCTGTCATGCCTCGTTCCCAAAGTGGGGCGCAGGATGCTCGGGCTCTACTTGTGCAATATTGCAGGGTCAGTCAGGGTTCGGATGGCAGCAGCAACAGTATAAACCTAGCACGAGCAACACCCATGTCAACTTCACCTAAAACATGCGCTTTTTGGACTTCTTCGTGATGGGAGTTCGATTGTTCTGAATCCGCTCATGGGTTGCAGTCGTTTTACAGGATGAGTCGGATGAGAAGGCCCATCGCCTGGCTCAAGGAAGAATGCAGAGGATTCCTAATTATTGTTGATGTTATAAATCCTACATTCGCTTAAGGACCCCAAACTATGGGAATTATGGCATATTCCGTATTATGGGTAATCCAGGTTTTATATCATCAACCGTACCAGTCTCGGTTTCAGTCAGTCCATCCTGGTGGGTGACTGCGGAATTGTGAGGGGAGATGCTGAGTAATATAGGGGCCTTAATAATTCGAATAGGGTTTGGGGGATAGTATACTATAAATAAAATAAGGAGCCACGAAAATACTATTCTAATTCTTAAGGTCCCTTCATTAGGCGCTGTAGGTTTGGTCCTGAGCTGCTTACTCCGCCGTCGGGAGAAAGCTGTGCAGGCTCTTCTACATTTCGGTTCCGGGATGCCGTGCAATACTGGCAGTGGCTTTGTTTTGGCGGCCTGGGAAGTCCAGCTTTGGGTTTGTTGCTGCGCAAGGAGTTGACGTCGGAGTACAAGTCCATGTTCGCGGACACGGGAGGGCTTTCCGCCAGAGGCTTAGGATGCGGCCTCCGCTTTGCACGCTGCACGACGCCTTGACAGTAGCTGCCAATAGTACTCTTAAGCCCCAAACAACAGCTTCTTGCTTTCTCCCTGCAACTGAAAGAGAATGTCAAAGCCTTGAGCGAATCCAGGTCTTCGTTGTTCTTGGCTTCCTTGGGTTGCCATGGGGGTGCTATCCGAAGGTTTAGGAGTTTAGGGATGTTTAGGGCCTAGGGTGTTTGCATGAATCGTTTCGGGGCCGGATCTATCCATCTCTTCCGAGCTCCATCTGCCCAGGCGCCAACATCCGATTGGTTGGCCAAAGCCGTTGCATGGGACCCCAGTTTTTCTGAGGACGTGGTCTTCAGAGAAGGACGAGTACCTGTCGCGTTCTGCATCCTGAGAAGCTGGCAGACTAGTTCCCAAACACCTACAGCCCGACGCGGCAAAGAGACCCAGGCAGAACCCTCCTGCGGCGGCAAAGGCATTCCCCGATTGTCACAGCGTATTATTTCGTCGTGGTCGGGTTCATGACAAAAGCTTATGGAGGCTGCTGAAGGTCCAGGGGGGCTGTACTACGGTATATTATGCTATGTCAATATTGTGGTATATTATGATATGTGGTAGTAGTTTCGAAAACGGCGTCATTCCTGAACTCACTGTGGGTGACTGTGTGTATTGCAGCGAAATGGAGATAGGAGTTTCAGAAAATTAGGGTACCTTATTTTGGGGTCCTTATAATAGGGATGCTATTGTTTAGGGTACTATATTAGGGTCCCCTATTTTCGGAAACCCCCAGATAGCCCTGTTGTGCCAGCCGCAGGTCTTGCGTACAGCCCAGGGCACTGCCTCGTCAACGAAGGCAAAGCTTTGCTGCAACGCTTTCTGTCTAAAGAACGTATAAGGTATACCCTTGATGAGGTATCTCTTTGCCTGTGGAGCACGAGTAAAGGAGCTAAATTTAGCTAGATATTTCCTGTTAGTGAAGACCGGTTTCGGGGGCTGAGTTGGTCGTCGAAGTGGTTTCCTTGTCAGCTCGCGAGCCGCAGGGAACCCGGCTTGAGATGCAATAGATAAGAGTCTACATTATGGTTCCTATATGCCTGGATATTATGGCTCCTTTTTATTATGGTTCCTATATGCCTGGATATTATGGTTCCCATATATTATTATGGTTCCTATGTTCCTAGATATTATGGTTCCTATATGCCTGGATATTATGGTTCCTATATATTATGGTTCCTATATATGAGAAGAGTAGACTCATGAAGTGCCAGGCTGGGGTTCGATGATGTTCTCATTGAGCACCGAGCCACCTTTTGACGGCGTCCTGGCTGTGTCTGAGATGTGGGAGCCCTGGGTAGAGAGCAAGGGTTTAGGCTTAGGGTTTGGGATTTTGGGGTGTAGCATAAAACGGGCTTAGGGCTTAGGGTGTTTCGAGCTTAGTCTTAGTGCATACTGGAGTTTCGAAGGGGCTGGCTTCGGGTTGATAGGGTTGAGTGCCTGAGTGCGTTTCGAGCCATTCTCCTGCCCACCCGCGCTCTGTAAGAGATACTAGCAGCTGGTCTTGTCCCAGCTTTCTTTCTGACTCACTGTTGCGGGGCTTCTGAAGTCTACCTTCGAAATGTGAAGCAGGTAGTTTCTGTTCACATTGGATGACGATGCTGTCCCTGGCCTCACTTCAAGTCCAAAGCATCTAGGCAGACTAGTCATAATAACCGAAGGCCCTTTTTATACTGTCACCACAAATCGCACTGCTGAGCCAAGCGACCTGAACAAAGCACGCCATGGCGAAACCCTGCCGACCCCGTGCCCCCCGAAGCACAGGCTTGTCATGCAACGTTCATACTGGCTAATTTGCTGTGCCAAGGACGCAGCGAGACCCTGCAAGAGCCTGAGACGTGCATGCATACTGGCGCACTGAATTCACAGCATTCCAGAAAAGTCGCATCCGGTGATTCCCTTAGTTCAGGGTATGCAAGCAAAATATCCGAGTCAACAGCAAGAGCAACACCGAATTCGCCGCCAACACCATCAGCAGCGACTACAAGTAAACAACGACTGCTGCAGCACCTAGTTTTATTTCCGGCAATGGTAAGCGGTAGCTATCTACATCGCGCGTACTGCTGCTACTGATAGAGATGCTGCTGTTGCGTATGTTGCCACACGCAGTTGCAGTTAGCCGTGTTGTGTTGTGGTTCCTTTCGCTTGTCTTTATTTAGGCTTGCCGCCTCTCTTGCTAATTAGCGCAGTCATAGTTATCGTCAGTGGAAGCAGAAGCTTGAACGGAGGCCTCTGAGGAGATGAATCTTGCGTGGTGATGTTGGGTTCAGGTGAGGTATTGTGATCTATTGGAAAAGGAGTTGAGTCGACTCATACATTATTACTCGAAGTGCAGGTTGGTGCCGCTGTGATATGCAACAGCCTCTGGTAAACATTTGTAGTGATTCTAAAAGCCCATTGTGGACCACAGCGGCTCCAGCGGCGAACTGGTTGATTCCGTAAATAGCAGAGCAGAGCGAGAAGCACAAGATTAGCGTCCTTCCGGACATCCGATCCGCATCGGCCTCGCTCCGGATAGGTAGCTGGCTGCTACGGAACTGACAGACTCCAACGGGCCCACGCCAACGTTGTGTGACGCTCCAGGTTTTCGAGCTCTCCATACTGGGATAGAAGTTTCGACCCTGCCGGGCCAGCCCTAGAGAGGAGTTTGCAGAAAGACCGGCAGCAGATCAGCAGATGTAGATGCGGGCTCCTAGCAGTCAGAAAAGTTAAGGCCTGTCCATGCACTGTCCCTGAGTTGCCAAGGCGAAGAGGCCGCAGCCGTTCGTTCAGCCAGTGGTCGCTCTGCCACGCTTTCGCACCAGAGTGCAGATGGCAGCCCTACTGCTTTTGCCAGGATGCTGCAACAAATCAGTCGACCTAAGTGCATCATGTTAGGCGCTTCCGAGCAGCCTTGAACAGCCTGACTCAGACATAGTAGCACAGTCGTTGTGTTCCATCCACATTAGTGGACCGCTAGGGAAGGCAAGCTACGATCCTCAAATGGAAATCAGACACGCTGCCAGGCAAATCACACATCATCACTCGATGCACTAGTCGATGCAGCAGATCGAGTCTATAAAAGCCCGGCCCTTTCCGTGGTTGTGCTCTGAGGTGCCGCAGCAGTAACGGTGGAATTGCTGAACACTTGGTTTGAGGGTGAACTGCTCAGGAATTGAAAGGCAGATGTTTCCAGCTTCTTGCTCTGGATACTGCTTTTGCTGCCACAAGGGGCGAAACTAGTACGGTATAGTATAGTAGCAGTCACCACAGCTGGAGAAGCGCTTGTAAGAACGTCATGACTGCAGATAAGGACAGTGTCAGGTTTAGTAGCGTTCAGCGTACTGAACTGATTATGATGCATATGGATATGCGAATGGATGCCTGTAGTAGCCATTCTTTAGTATCGTGGGCTTTGCCATACTTCCATGTTCTGGACTTATATAGCTCCGGGCGTACAGGACCTGGTTTCCTTTCCAGACGTTTTGCGACCCTTGTGCCATGTGCCTAGATCAGGGTCGTGCTCGGAAGTCCTGGCTAGAGAGAGCTCTGAATGTCTCAGGGTAGTTATTGGAAACCCAGGGAGGAAACCTACATAGTAACAGAGACTCACGTGGCTGTGATGCCGCTATCTCTGAATGGGACCTCGGCTTGCCCACCTGCCCAGTTTGGAGCTAAAGTGGCCTCGAAACGACTCCCCAAGGATTGCCCGCTATCAACCTTGCCATGCGGTCTTGTCCTTGCCAGGTAGGACGCGAAAAGCATTTCCCCCGAAGTGAAAGCCACGACCTTGACCCCAATGCCGTGACGCTTCCACACTGACAGGCCTCAATACTCCAAGCCCCGACGTGTTCTTTCTCAGTCCCAGCCTTGGACACGTTTCCTCGAGCCGGAAGTTGGCGTGGGACTTTTCAGACGCAAGCAGTCAGATATGCTCAGGGTAACTCGCTAGACAGCATCCTAGTCTACCTAAAGGATCGTGGGACTTAGTAAGTAGGGTTATAGGTACCCTAATTGGGGTTATAAGTATAGTTACCTTTCGTATAACCTCAGTTACTAAGTCCCATGTTCCTCTAAGTAGAGTCTTGTGGCTCCTACTGTAGGACCTAGGAATGACCAGCAGTGGTTGGTGCTCCGCAAACCAGCACGGCGTAACCACATGAAAACGACCTTCGGTGGTGCATGCTTTGGCCCCAGACAGGCAGATCTTGTCTGCAAGTGCTTCGGCTACGATCCACCAATCTCATCCAACAATGTACCAAAGCCTTCAGCTATCCGTTGGGCCGCAGGGGCAGGGTTGCGAACTGTTGCTGCTTCATTCCATTGGCAGCGATGACAGACTTACATCCAAGGAGCTGTACTTGACTGGATAATGTGTCTGCAGCGAGGTTTGCGATTGTTGCACACTATGCCTGCCCAGACACGACAAAGAGACCAAAAACCCCAAAGCCATCGCCCAACTCCTGAACTGTCAGGCCCGATGGTGGGCAACTGCTTGACGCTCCGCCGCTTGGGCCCTTCTCGTGGGAACAAGGCCTAGGGGACCTGGTGAAGTTTGGGTGTCAGAGGTGCGTAGGGACTCCAGCCGCCAGTCATCGCTGAATCGCAACTTGTCTGATACACACACACAAACTCTCATACAAGCATTGCTGCGTATGACATGTCTTTGCCGTTACGTGGCATGGGAGCTGGACCAAGCCTTCCCTCTTTGATTCCTTACACCTAGCATAGGTACCACGTGTTGGTCAGGTGTGCACGGGAACAGAGGGTCTAAGTTTTGACTCATGGCTTATAACATACGATATAGTATCTAAAACCATACTACTTCATCGCTCCAGGGTAGGCCCTGCGCAGCCCCGCACCATGGCGCCGATGACTGGAATGCGCGCGGGGGATTGGATATGCCCTGCTTGTTCAAACCACAACTATGCTGACAAGGCCTCCGGCCCTGGACCATGAAGCACACAATCAGAATAAGGTTCGTTAATAATATCCCCTCATGAGAGACTTTAATATATTGATAGACTATAATATAGTGTAATATACTCAGAGTATGATATATACCCAAAATGTCACCCTATAGGCCTTCATATATTTTAGTATGAGAGATACCAAAGCAAGGGGCAGCTTTTTGGGTTTATTGGGCCAGCGGTCTTTAAGTTGCACGCGAGGTCGGGGACCCTAAAGCTGTCACAAGTACATACTTATACGTATAATACATACATATACCTGTTTATATACATATGTGATAAGAAGATGTTAGAAGTGCCACACACCAGCTACGTATGCCCAGCGGCGAATCAACAAGCCCCATGTCGAATTGATCCACGTTTAAGGACATTCTGCAAAGCTTGGCCCGTGAATGCTTGACAAAAGGGGGTTCCCTTGGCCTCGACGCAGGTCATGTGCAATCGGTGTCGGATTCCGAAGCCCGGCGGCTGGAGTGCCTCACCTGTGGCAAGCAAGCCCGGCAAAGAGATGCGGCCTGGGGACTGGATCTGTCCATCGTGTGCCAACCACAATTTTGCCGATAAGCTGTTTTGCAACAGGTGTAACCTTCCGAAAGAGAAGGCAGGCGAAGTTTCCGGCCCGGGGCCGGATCAGCCGACCCAAGCGTGGGGATTCCGGCAGGGCGATTGGATGTGCCCAGCCTGTGGCAACCACAACTATTCAAGCCGGACAGCTTGCAATCGATGCAATGCGCCACGTTCGAGTGACAGCGACGAAGCGACTTCATTGAATTTCGTACCTGTCGTTCTTTTGCAGGCTTCCGGAAAGCTACCCCTTGCAATACTTAGGCTTCGAGTCGAGGTGAACGACCCCACTAGAGGTCAAGAGAGAGAGAGAGAGAGAGA